TTAAGATTCTGTTGTTGTATACTCAGTGTATACGCTACAGCGTTTAAATTTTCCAGTATTTCCCACTCACTGTTGACTAAAGAGCTACTACGTCCAGTAAAGCTTATAAATCAGGCTTTTCTTGCAATATGACATAAAATTATCGTTTCCCAAAATACTCGAACAAATAAGTACTGAAAAATAAATCCTTTATAAGGTTGGGTTGGCAACCCTTAGTGGGAGTAATATGTATTATGCCGGTTTTCAGTGTGCCACCTACTCTGAAGACGACTACGGATTGATTCATTTGATTGAATCAAAATTCAAAATTGTTTATTCATTTTAGGTTGTTACAAGCACTTGTGAGATTCGAAAAGCTACGCCATCGGTTTGCAATTCTTATTAAAAAGAATCGGCAAGAAACTCAGCAAGAGCTGTTTTTCCCCTTTATTATTAAATACAGAGATGTCAATAAAAAAATAAATACGAACATTTTATACTAAGTCATGGTGATCGTTTAAGTATACATACTCATGCATTTTCATTAAAATAACATAAATTTTCCAAGGTACCTAATAAACAACGGGGACGATTAATCCCACCTCAAAGCGGAAAGTAAGATGGAATCCGCTCTTATTGGGATTACAGCAAACATCGTCGGGGATTGTAAATTGATGAGGGATTGTTTGCCACTTGCCTTTTACTTTGCCTTGTGATTTCGAACCGATAGGGGACCGGGGGCCACCTTAATCGCGTATTATCGAAGATTAGGTAACAGCTACTTTCGTGTGATAAATTCTAATTCGATGAACTGTTTAACTATTCAGTAAACCGTTCAAAGAGAAATAAAAATTTAAAAAGAACTCCCTTTCTATTGCAATATTGGATTTCAATAACAGAGACTTTGGAGTGAAGAAAGAATATTTGGCGACGCGATTAAGTTGAATTCTCAAGTTCTTCCTGATTGTTATGTTATTACGATTGAATGAAATATAAAATATTTTTTTCAAGCTCATCGGAAAGTGATTGAATTTTTGTTGTTAATTGGATTTAATGAAAAAACGTATTGGTTGTGTGCAAGTAAACACAATATTATATTTCGCATATTTATAAGTAATCAACTTCAATGATTTAAAATCATTGAAGTTGATTACTACACTCGACCGTAAATAAACCCGCTGGTACCTTTGGAGTCTGATTCGATGTACTTACATCTATCAAAGTTATACCTACAGAAAGTGCATTTCATAATGATTAAATGAGTAATAAAGTCATATAATTTTATTCTAGAGTACTGTCAACTTACTATATAATCAAGCAAGAAACAAAATGCTAACGATTTGCTTATTTTTGAATAAAGTTGCGATTAACGTTCTTTTTTATAAAATGAAGATAGTCTGATAATTTTTAATTATTTTTTTAATTTTTCTCAGAAGTTTTTGCTACGTTTTTTTCTACCCATTAACACAATTGGATAACGACTCTTCTTTATAAAAACTGAAAAAAATAATTAATCTCCAAAATTAATAATAAATCGTTCTAATCACAATGAAACGCATTTTTGTAGTTATAACTTTGATAAATAGTTGTAAGTTTTATACTTTTGGAAAAAATCAAATCGTTCCGAGTTATAAAATAACCCGATTTATTTGTTGTCCAGCGTAGTTACAAGTGAAACTATTGATGACACTGTACAGGAATATGTAACGTGTACTCTAAGATAATTTCTTATTCTCTTTAAATTAAATCAAATCTTTATATCAAAATTCTTAAGTCCGGCAATATTCATTAAACAGGGAAAATTATAATTCCGAATGAAATTTCCAAGGTAACATTTCTGAATTATCCTGACAGGCCTAAATCATAAACAATTATTAAGATGTTGAATTTCTATAACTACGCTTGAACATAAAAAGACTTCCAATTATCGAGAAAATATAAATGCTTGTAGTACCATTGTTTAGTTCAAGAAAAGATTGGGTGTTAGATTTATACTTATTTATAAAAGTCTAACATAAAACAAGTCCTTTGGTATTTTTTTTACTTAGAAGTATGTTGCTTCGTTGCTACCAACAATAGGCTAGTTGACCCTTTTTGGAAAAAGGTTTTAAATGGTTAATAAATGTTCTATTAGACCGAAAAAAAAATTATTGTATTTTTTTGAGACCTAGAAAGCTACAAATCTTTAATTTTAAAATAGACTTTTCATGGACATACAAAAACGCTGTCGGCCATTTTAGTCTATAGATTATCTATGCTATGACGTCAACTGTAGTAAACAAAAACTCGTAAGCACGTGGAAAAAAACTTATCTGAGTTTATAATAAAAAAAAGACATGATAACTAATAAATATCACGAAAAATAAAGTAATTATCATTATTGTATTGTACGAGAATATAAAAACACATCCTTGAAGACTCCAGGAAAGTTGTGGATTAAAGTGCCGAAAGAAATTAACCTACGCAACTTTATTACACTTATTCATATGTTGTATCAGTTTTATGTCTATTACTACATTGTAATACTAAATGCACTGTACTTACATAGATGCCTTGTCGTTTCTCTACTCCGCAGAGCAGGAATCGGGGTTTAGTGCAAAAATTTCACCAACCATCAATGCGTCAATTCTTGGCAGATTTGTGCTTTCTGCTTTCACAAAGCCGGCATCCATAATTAGTTTTGGCAAAAAAAACAGTAAACGGGAACTTTTCTAAAGTTAAAGTATTTTAAGATAAATTTAGTCAGATGAAATAATCTACCCACAGTAACACGCGAATGACATTTAGTTGTTTACTACATGAGACGTCAAAATCATGGCGGATGTGGCGAACAGCGTTTTTAGTGTTTAAAAAATATAGACTAAAAAAATGGTTGCCTGTAAAGTCGGTTTTACGGGCGAAGATTTTACGTGACAACGTCTTTTTCTCGGTAGAATATTTATTGATATGAATATAATTAAATTGCACAATAGGAACAAGGAATTGAATGAAAATAAGAATTGCACAAATTTTAACTATAGAAATATATTTTGTTTACTAAAACATTGTACATGTAAACTTAAACTTAACACGAGAGACTCATCGTAACGTTACCGAGCGTTACACTTTTTCATAAGTGACTCCCAGCCGCAACCTAATTTAAGACGTTGTCACGTCAAAAATATTTTTTAAAATTAAATTTCTACAGCAATCTTCTGCTTTTATGAAGTGAAATTGATGTATTTAGGTTCCTTAGACCAAATACTTTAAGAAATAATCATTTATTTAATACAATTCGACATGAGTCAACTAGCCTACATTTATAAGATACTAGCTGTCCCAGCGAACTTCGTACCGCCATAAAAAAATAGGGGTTGGTGGTAGAAGGGCGAAAATTTTGGGTTATATTTATTTTTGTATGATATATCATAAAAACGTAAGAAAAATATTTATCTAAAATTGAAAAAAAAAATTAGGGGTGGATTACCCTTAACATTTAGGGGGTTGAAAAACAGATGTTGTCCGATTCTCAGACCTACTGAATATGCATAAATTTCACGAAAATCGGTCGAGCCGTTTCGGAGGAGTTTAACCACAAACACCGCGACACGAGAATTTTATATATTAGATGAAATTAAAAGTTTTCATTAAATTTTCATATTCCGGAAACTTTGCATCCGGTGGCATCCACAAAACTTAATAGAAAAATACTCACTCAAATTTCTTGGAAATTTACTCCGGTAAATAAACCAAAAGATAAATGCAAAAATTTTCTTTCCACGATTTTCCTTAATAATACATAAATGTTTCTTTCAAGATAAGAAAATATTACGTCCTCTTATGAATTCTGCGAATAATTTAAGAAGAAAATGTCAGTACAGTCGGTTCGTCACTTTTAGGGATATAAATAACTTATGAATGTGCGACACTAATGATATTAACCCATATCATATCACGCCTTGTGGCAGAGACAAGGCATTTTTACATAAATTATTGTAAGTTGAAAAATACAAATACCTGTTCACCATTTTGTCAATTGAAGCAAGTTTGTATTATTATACAAACTTTTACAAGATTTTTGCTAAAAATCTTTGATATATAGGTTATAAATCTGTTTGAATTTTATTTTTATGACAGTCTCCACCTAAATTTCGTATCGACAACACATTTATATGATGTCAAATTTTTGTTTGAATATTAATAATTCGTTAACTATGAACCTTCTAAACTGAAAAATTAAACGGAAAATAAACTTTGTTATTGGTTTTAATAACGTATTTCTATCTATTGGTTATTTCTTGTTGGAAAGTCGTATGTAACGGTCATCCTATTCGAAATCAGGTACGTGAAGATGAAAATTTTATATCGAGGTTATCTTTCAGACCCGCAAGACTGTCCTCAGTTATCTAAATGATGAAATTATAATGGTGGCTCATATAAAATACCATTATTCTAGTTTTATATATAAATATATATTATAGGTGGCATACGAGCTGACGGCCCACCTAAAGGTAAGCCCCGATCACCGCTGCCCCTAGTTCATCAACAATCATCAACATCAAGTGATTGTGTTACTATCTACCACCATTTTGGGCGTGTCTATTAATTTAAAGCGCTCTTTTAGCAAATTAGACCTTCAAAATTTTAAATATCTGAAATGTAAATAACGTAATTGATGATTAATTATAAAAGTACGAAGTTCGAAATTCATGAACGAGATCAAACTTATATTGTTATTCATCTTCATAAATACTTACTAATGTATTAGTAAATAGTATACTTATGAAGAATATTATTTACTATTACTGTCATTATAACACAAACACGTAACATCTATAGTACATTATCTAATCATGCAGAAGAGGGGGTTGCGAACGTGCTTAGAAATGTGTGGTCTGTATGCACTGCCGCCTAATTTGACAAAGGCGTAGCGATTCGTTACCAAAGGAACCCGCGTCACATTCCTCGAACCTTTCTCCTCATTCCAAGTTTGCCACAAAACAGTATTACAGTAACTGGATCGCTGAGCATTTGTCGATAGGCTACAGTTTGTTTATCAATGTGTGTACTGCACTATCGTTATATACCGCATATGGTGGCGGTGAGCAGACGAGGCGACGAGGCGACGTTCGCAGCCCCTGGCACTCAGGGTCGGAGACAGTCGCATGCGAAGCGGGAGGGGCGACGGTGGGGCAACATGAACGGGGCTCACTGAGAGGATGGTGCGGCGGCACGGAGAACGTGTAGTACTTGGCCGTTTGGTTGTGAGCTCGCAGCACAGAGCTGTGTGTCAGCGTCACCACCACGACGAGCACCGACGCTAGCGCTAGTGCGAAGAAGGAAGCGGCGACGGCGGCCACGACGCGTCGTCTCCGCGCTTCTTTGCCAGCTTCTTCGGGCGGGATTTCCGGCTCGGGTGGCGGCAGCGGGGGCTCCGGGGAGCGGCTCCGGACACTGGGACCGCGGCTGTTGGGCAACTCGAGCGTATGGCGGCGAGATCGACGCGCACGCTCGCACTCGGCCGCAGAGGAGTGGTGGCGGCGCAAGCGGTGAGGAGCACCCGGTGCTACACGACATGAGGCCGAGCGCAGCGTGCGTACGGGTACCATCAAATCATCGCTGGCCGCCCGCGGAACTCGCGCCGAATGCACCGAGCGAATGGAATGCTCCCGATTAGAACTACTCGGAAAGGCAAGATCTACGGAAGCGCGCGAAGAGTGTCTCGAAAATCGGTCACGATCCCGGTGGTCTACACGCACAGACATGGTGCGGGCGGAGCGCGCGGCGGCGGCCGCCCGAGTGACGTGCCTCCCTGCCGTGGCCCGCCGCGCCGCACCGCCTATCACTGTTTACACTCGTCCCCGATCTCACAAAGAACGCTTACAAAATATTCTACACATCGCAAGGTAACGTTGACCTTAAATCTAACACGAGTGGATGTCTACCATCCGTTATTTACACGATTAAACGAATTTGTACATCCCCTTTCTCCGCCTAACTTTAAGTAAACATTTACTCACACACTCGATTTCCTGATAGACGTTACCTGTTTAAGTAAACAGACGAATGAAATTTGTCAGTTTGCTGATTTTTAGCATGCATATTAAAAATTATGAACCACTATTATACTATTATCACCCACATTTTATACTTAAAAATATATAAACCGTTTCATTTGATACTTACACGTTTTGTATATAACAAAACGCGTAATTGAGATCTCAGATCAATTTCAAGGTAAGTTTTATATTAGAAAGACATAAAATATAGTTCTCCCATTGGCACAGGCAGAACGGCAAGCTAAATAGAGCGAGCGGCTTTTGTTGCGAAGTCCACGTTGTCAAGTTAAATTGTCTCGGCGCGGGAAACGAAACAGATAGTAGAAGTTGTGGCGAGGCCGGCACATCGACACTATTCAATATGGACACCACTCACTAGCGCACGAAGCGAGCTGCTAAGACATTAACGTACACTGTTTTCACTTTTACAGCTTAGGGACTTGATCAATGGCAATTTATCCTCAAGACCATATGACAAATTTCTAAAAAAAAATAGCTAAATTCGTAGTACTTTTAAAATAGGCTTTTGTAAATTATAATAAACTTACTTTTAATAATTGCAGCAGAACCAGCAGCAAACAGAGCTTTATTTTTAATGTCGTAAACGCTCCCCGTTCTGCCACACTGCTGCCTTTTATGTAAAAATAAATCGTAGTAAAAAGGTAGTTGGTACTTTTTTATTTCAACCTCATTTCGCGTGTCGTTTGCCCGCATGCAACGGCATATTTATTGTTCGCCAAATAAAAATCTCATTCGCGAACGAGAGGGGTTGCGTTGTCGTCTCTTTTCGCGTTTTGTTATATCAGCGATAGTTTACATATAGCTATGAAAGAATAACTTGACTTCAGAACATTTAAAAAACTGTTTTTGTGGTCCAACCAGTATTTATGAAAACGTAAACGGTAATGTCAAATTAACAACAAAATCAGCAATAGCCGTACAAAAACAACAAATGTATGTTTGAAATAAAATTCGTTTTCACTCGGTTGGTGCTGTGAAATAAAATCAGCAATAATGTAAACAAAGTTTAGGTCTGGCGTTTGTTGGGATGTTAATGATTACCATGTACTTTTATGAAAACATATATCAGATCTATAAACAGGAAACCGTACTCAAACACGACCAGTGAAAGTAGCCGAAATAGTCGTACAATAAAACATCGATCATTCTATCTGAACTGGATCTGAACAGTGTTATACACAGAAATTTCTACACAGCTGTGTGTGATTGAAAACATTGAATATGACTTATATAGATTCTGAAACTACACAAGAATTTCTGTTATTTTACATTTAAACTTTTAAATAACTATGACATAAAAATATCGAACAATATTGTTAAAGAAACCGCAAATGAAAGTAGCCTACTGCTTTAAAATCAATCATTTTAATGTTCAGTTAGTAGGTAACAGGGAATGGAACTAAAAAAGATCCATTAGTCTTGAGTTGATTATAGCCCCCGTAATGCACACTTCACGCTATTTACAGAGCATCGCAACGAAACAACTGAGACGTAGGAGGAAACGACAAAAACTTCACAACTAAAATAATGTAGATATCTTAGATTTTTATACTTTTATTTTAAGCATTTGACTGCTACGGCTAAATCTAAAGAAAATTTTACTAGAGAAAATCCAGTCCTTCCAGATTTCAGACGGGATATGAACCGTTTTAATACATAAAGAGAGTGAAAGTGTTTAAGAGCTTATTATAATTTTATACATATTAAAATTTATGTATACGAGCAGGCATTATTCTAATAATGTTTAATACGGGTGAAAGAGCACTTGACATTGCAATTATCATGAATTTTAGGAAATTGCTACTTTTATTACACAATTCTGTTGTGTTATTTAGCTGCAGTTTTTTACGGTCAAGTATTCCAATTCAAGCGGAAAATCCTTTATTCTTTATCTCTCTGTTAACTCAACAATTTTCCTCAAGAAACATTTACCGCCCACAAGACTCCAATCCAATCGATTTTCTACGTCGAAAGAAAGTATTAGTTTTTTCATTACTAGTACGCAATTGATAAAGAAACTTGTGTATTAATCCTTCTGTTCTACGAGTAACTACTATACATACATTAGTTTAGTTTACTTTAGTTTTTCAGGGCGGTTTCCGCACTTAGTCCTAATTATTGGACCATTGTGCGTATCTCATAAACATTCCCGCTTACTCCAGCCAGCCTATATCGGTCCAGAAGGAAAGCAGCCTTGATAGACTGCTGCAAGCTTCCGGAAACGATTCTGGTGACTAGAGTAGTCGTGCCCGTTGGTCGGCCACACTCCTGCATTCCATGATGACATGCTGTGGCGTTTCTTCTGCCTCCATGCATCCTCTGCATAGAGGGCTGTCTGTAACTCCTATTGTATATAGGTGTTTGTTTAGGGGACAATGACCAGTCAGGGATCCTATAATCTTGCGAAGTTTGTCCCTATTTAGTCAGGTAAGGGTGCGGGCAAAACTTTTATTTACCGGCGGAACCGCGTTTTTCGTTTGCCGGCATCCTTCACCTGTTTTCCACTCCATCAAGTGTGATTTATGAGTTATTTCACGCAGCCACGTTTTAATTTGGGCCTGAGATATGGGCAGCAAAGGCTCCGGACCATACATCTTTGTGTCTGCTCCCCTCTTAGCCAGTTCGTCTGCTGCGTCGTTTCCAATTGAGCTGCTGTGTCCTTTTATCCATTGCAGAGTTACCGTGTTGTTAACCGCAATGGATTGAAGTGCCTTGTGGCACTCCATTACTAGGACAGAGTTTATTGTGCTTGCTGTGTGTAGGGCTTGAAGCACGGATGCACTGTCAGAGATGATCTTGATGTTATACTCTCTGATATCTCTGGCTGCAACCGCCTGTGCCGCTCTGGTAATGCCAATACATTCCGCCTGGAAGATTGTACTTTGTTTGCCTAAGGTTGTAGATATTTTAATATTCAGGTCGTTTGAGAAGACACCGGCTCCAGTGCCACTGTTGGTTTTGGAGCCATCCGTGTATATCCTAACTTCCCCGGCGCCGGAGTAATCTGCCTTTTCCGCGGTAAGTTGGATATTGTATCTTCGATCAAAGACGTGTTGACTTAATATTCTATCCATAGGTGCCTCCAGGAGTGGGATCTCCTTCGTGCACTTTTGTAGAATATTGGAGTGTGTTGTTACAGTATTTAATCTCCATATTCCTAGAGACTTTAGTCTCAAGGCTGCTGCTTTCGCCTCTTCTTGTATGACCAGGTCCAATGGTCTTAAATTCATAAGGTACTCTAATGCAGCCGATGGAGTTGTTCTCATGCATCCAGTTGCTGCTACGCTCGCCAAGCGTTGTAGACTTTGGAGTTTGGATTTCACTGTGGTCAGTTGGGTCCTGGGCCACCAAACAACTCAACCATAGGTTATAGAGGGCCTGATGACTGCTGTGTATAACCAAAGGGTGATCTTTGGACTTAGACCCCACTTTTTACCAACTAGTCTTCTACACTGATTAAAAGCTATGCAGGCCTTCTTTGTTTTTAAATCAATATGACTCGCCCAATTCAGTTTGTTATCAAGGATTACGCCCAGATATTTCACTTGTGTTGATAGGGAGAGTTTGCTATTAAACAGTTTTGGTAACTGTAGTTCAGGTAGCTTCCTTTTGTTGGTGAAAAGTACTAGCTCTGTCTTGTTCGGGTTTACTGACAAGTAATGTTCGTCACACCATTTCTCCACAATCTGAAGATTTTCATTTCAAGAACATTTTCAGCGTTCCCATTTATCAGAATTGTTAGGTCGTCCGCATAACCAATAGTAGTGTATCCTCCGTCATTCAGACTCCGTATGAGACTGTCCACTACTATGTTCCAGAGAAGTGGTGATAGGACTCCCCCTTGTGGGCATCCTCTGACTACCTTCGCACGCGTGGTAGCGTTCCCCACTATCTGAACCGCCCTTTTGCCAACCAGTTCGGTGATCCAACCTCTGGTGACTTGGTTCACCTTGAGTTTTCTTAGGGCGTGGTTAATGCTGTTGTGCATCGTTTTGTCAAACGCACCTTCTATGTCTATGAAGGCTGCCAGTGTTGAGATTTTATTTGTGATTGCCGACTCTATTTTGTGGACTACTGAATGCAGTGCCGACTCTGTTCATCTGCCTTTCCTGTAGGCATGTTGTTGAGGGTGCAGCGGAGCCTTACTTAGTGCTCCATCCCTAAGGTGTCGGTCTACCAGTCTTTCCAATGTTTTTAAGAGAAAAGAGGTTAGGCTTATTGGTCTGAAGGGTTTGGCTTGTGTGTAGTCGTCCTTGCCTGGTTTCGGTAAGAAGACTACTTTTGCCTCCCTCCATGATTTTGGTATGTACTTGAAGGCTAGGCAGGCCCTAAAGATAGGTTGTAGGTATCTAATTGCCTGACCTAGTTGCCATTGTAGTAGCGCCGGGAATATACCATCTAGTCCCGCTGACTTAAATGGTTGAAAGCTTTTTAGAGCCCATTCTATCTTTTCCGCCGTTACTATTGTTTTTGCCAGGTCCCATCCCTGGGTTGTTGGTGCATTGTGGTGCTCAGTCGTCCACTCCAGGCCTGGCGCCAGTTGGCATCCTGGGAAGTGGGTTTCCAGTAGCACCGCATTGGCTTCTTCTTCTGTTTTTGTATAAGTGCCGTCTTCCCTTTTCAGAGATCCAAGGAGGTTGGAGTTGTCCTTGGACAGAACTTTCTTGAGTCTGGCAGCTTGATTT